ATTTGCAGACTTCATTTCAATGACAGCGACTCTGATTAGCCTGCTCGCTACTATGTAAGAGTTATCAGGCTGTCTGATCTCTTTCTGGGCCAAAATAGAGCTAGGTAGCTCAGTCAAAACCTTCTTCAAATTTCCATCTTGCTTTTGAATACTGATCGACTTTTGGTATGCTTCATACAATAAATTCAAGTTGAAGCCTGCTCTACGATGTGAAGTCTGATGGACCGCAAAGCTCTTCAAAAAGTTATCAAAGATCGAACGTCGGATACATTTTCCTATCTAATCAATTGTACTCTGCCAAACTATATCTGTATGCAACTGGATCAGTCGAACTTCCAGTACGAAGCATATTCTACAGTATAGTTTGTGTGCACATTTATTAGTACATACTTGTTTAAGGCCTTATGCATTCGTAAAGGACATTGATCTTTTCATAATCGCGAGCGGATGGCTCCGTTTGCTTTCCAATTTTATCCTAAACAAATAAGTCTAAACTTCTTTTCTCTCCCAAGTAAAAAAGGAAAACTATTACTTGATAGGCAGGATCAAGAGTCTCAATAGTCATCGTGCCTGCTTTTGCGTAAGCATCTTTTGCATTATGCATGATAGAAAGATAATCGTAGGGAACGTTGATATAGTTTTGCGTTGATGCGGCTATCGCGAAGAAGAAGTTCAGCATTGGATCTGAACATTGCAAATGTACTGCTGCTTTTGCAAAAATACCAACCTGCAATGTTCTCGTAATGAACTTTGATGTATTTGTCCCTATCCTCTCGCATATGCTCTCCACTAAGTCCTACACTGTGCAAAAGCATTACCATTATGGTTTTTGCATTCATACAGCTGCAATATTAAGGCTTTGTAAAATATTGTATAATTATCTTATCACACGAATTAAAAGATCATACCCACTTTTCATGTTTGCTTGACTCGAGATATATGGCATTCCTGCCTGCGATTCTTCCTACGTTTGAACCGCATCTAAATATTATCTATAGAAAAAAGTGTGGTGAATTTCAGTCAGTTGAGAAGTGAATAAAAGGCATAGTGTTAACTTTCAATGACTACTAGAATTCTGATACTGCGTAATGAGATGAAAAGCTCTGATTGTGAGTATTTGAAAGAACAACCATAATTATATGGGAAACTACCCTTCCGACTCCGCGTTGATAATGTCGACGTAGTCTTCCTCGTTTGTCCGAGGTTTGAATTCAACGCATGTGTTAGCAGCAATTTTGTCCATAGCAGTTAAAATCGCAGAGCGCTCTTCATTATCTGTGCAAACAACCTTTGATTCGAAAATTGTAAGGAAGTTATGAAAATGAGATCAAAAGATTTGTAAACACTTTCCGACAGTAAAACTTCAATTCCTAGGAAACAAAAAATATAGCTTGATGTGTGCTAAAATTCGCTTGATATGTGAGCGAAGTATGTGACTTACTGTATATGCCAGACAACTGATATGGGATAATGTAGTTTCCATTCTCATTAGTATACTTATCCCATAATTGAGTTGCAGGTTCATCTTCTGCCAGCACAGTTGAGACAAATGTGGCCCAAACAAAGAGTAGAAATTCCACTTTCATTCTGTAAAAAAGGAAATTATAATAGCGTTATTACTGCTTTATGATAGCACTTTATTTCATAAGAGTTCTACAGTACTTTGTAAAGGACCTTTGATTCATTTGGACTATGTGCATGGTCATCTACAAGTAAGGAAAATACTTGACCTTGTTTTCTGCTGAAATATGTCTGTAAAATGCATCCCAAA